GCAGGTAATATAAGTTTGTTATTCACTCAGCTCATTCCTCAACTTCCATCCAATGGCAGCTTACCAAGATCATGCGACGGTTTTTAATCGTCTGCCACACCGTTCCATTGACTCTGCAAAAAGTTACGTCAGATATTTGACCTAAGATGCTTCATTATCAAGAAAGATCATAATTGTATCGGTAACACTACGTACGCTGTAAAAAACCAACGCGCGAGTCCCATATTGTAAAGGTAAGACGAATTATTGAGGTGCAGGTTCACATCGCAATCTAAAAGTCCCGCTCTAGCTTTCCATACAGAAGGATAACTCACGCCCAAAACTCCTTTCTTCATCGACCCCTTCATGACAAGTCGATGCACCAAGCCAACTCCAGTATTCCAGAATGCTCGCAGCACCATTCTGCTCGTCTATTAATTTAAAAGATTTATTTAAAGAGTTTCTCTGCATGGGGGTGCTATTATGAAAAATGAGCCCGGTGATCAACCCATTTTCTAAAATTTCAGTACTCTAATAGATTATCAAGCACATATTTGAGGCTATCCTAAGAAATTATAAAGTGTTATTCATCATCGTTCCTTTACTGGATTACGGTATTTGAGCACACTAAACGAGCGCTGATCGGATGAGCGTTGAGTGACGGTGCTCGAATGACCAAAAGATTGGATACAGACTACTAGTGTGAGAGTCAATATATTAATAATTTTTCAATTTCCATTCTCTTCACAATGATGTCTTCTCTTCGATCATTGCAGCGGGGCTGTCGTAGCTTTGCGCTTTGAGGAAGAGTAAGGTAGGTCACCGACCTTTCGTCCTATAATTAGAACAAAGCACGAGTTTAGCAGATCGCAATCGGCTTATTCCAAGGGTAATTATTGCCTTAACCCAAGGCTAATTAACTCTTCCGTTTAAATTCAAAACTGACTTTATTTATTTTTTTATCAGCGGCAAAGCCGCCTAATCTTCAAGGTATAGATTTTCTTAAATATATATAGTAAAATCTAAATACACGCATAACTACTGGCTACCCAGCCACGTACCGTATTCTTATTTGGTTGCAGTCACACCATGCCCATCTCGTGTGACACACACACCTGTGACCAATGTACATATAACCCCGTTACAATTATCCTCTCCTTTCCATCAAAGTTCTGCGTTACACACGAACCTTGACCTTATACAAATATGAGCCGAAGCACCATGTCTTTGTGCAAGATATCTCAAACAGGATCTTCATCGACAAGTTTAACAGCGACAGACTTCGCGAGGAGGATCCGCTACATGTGCTTGGTGATCCTAATCGAGTCAGAGTGACCCAAGATACGACTTCAATAATCACTGACTCAAGCAAGTTGCAAACGAACCCCAGAATAATGAAATCGATCGTGGATCGTGCCCTTAAAAAATTTGTCGTCGGAAAACCAGAAAAGAAGAAATACGCAATTGACAAAATGGCAGCTGATTCTGTGGCATCGATCGGCTGTTTCAGTACGGCGAGTCAGACCAATTTATAACGCCAAACAGCAAACACATGATACTGTTGCGACCGTACAGATCTTTAATTTAATGAGTACAAAGTCATGGCTAAAAAGACTTGAATGCATCACCTAAAGTTGACAAGGGGTTTGAAAGAGCCTCAGCAGTAGCGAACGGCTTCACTCGCTCGCGAATTTCACAGATCCATACATGTACCCGATTGGGCGAAAATGTCTTATATGATGACGGGGTGGCGAAAAAAGGTATTCTTACGACAAATGTAATCATGTCAGGATGCCCATGAATCAGGCAAAGCCACTTAATATCATTGCGGAGGACGAAGCCTCGTGTATCCATGTATCGCAGCAACTGATTCTGCTATCCAACAGCTAGTTGGATAGGTGGAAATGGCTGTTACGTGAACAAAGCGTGCCTCAATGGCGTACAAATTTTGATGTGTCGGGCTCGATTAAATAGCTGACCAACTCGCGACGAAACAGATCCTTGTTTCATCAATGGTGAATATAGGATGATCAGCAAACGAACAGTGCAAACGCATAAATATCATCAACCCATCTGGAATAATCTTTGATCTCAATCCGCCTTTTGGTCGTTGGAATTATAATCAAATTATCAAGAAGACGTGTTAGGCTAGATTGAAATGAACAATAAAATCTAAACTATTACTTAAAAATATGCGGTGCAAAAGTGACGATCCGGATTTCGAGCAAATTGCGGACAGACAGTGAGCTCGGAGCTTAACGAGGTCATACATTACTGCAAGATGGTAATTGTCGTGAGCCGTATCATTCTTTTAAGATTTTCTAGACCGTCAAAATTAATATCTTATATCATACTCACACCATGATTGCCGAATTGCAGCAGATCACATATCTCTAGCATTTCGAACAGCTTGGAAGAAATTAAGTATTTTGAAAGCGGTGGGATCAGAGACGCTAAAATACTCGCTACTTTAAATCAAAGGCTTACTGGCGACTATTATACTGTCACTACTCCATGCACTAGATAATTGGAAAGCCCTGCGCACACGGACAGGGCTAAATCTGTCTCAAAACAGACGTCCACACACAGATTGAGGATATCTATTTATTATAAATAGAACATTACGACTACGTAGTACTCTTACACTTGGGCTTATGGCGCGATAAATACTCCTATTGAGAAATCGCTCAAAATGTGTAGTTTGGATCTCTCATTTTTTAAAACACCTAACTCAAACGGTCAAGAGGAGTAGTCGCTGCCGTTTTCCGTCTTTAGTCTTACTCTAGGTGGAGACATCTCGGTGCAAACGTGCGATATGACCTCAAGGTTTTAAATATCATTCAATTGATCGTTGCTGTAGCGCACTTTAGATCCTGAGATACTTCTAGCTATTGTCATAGCATCCGATGAACGTGCTAACAGCATCATCGCGATATCCTGCTCGCGTGAAGGTGTCTAGTGAAAGCTGTTGATGATAGCAATGGCACTGATCTCAACGTTCCCAGACATTAAGCCCACGATCGTCTCCTTGCGTGAATTGAATTCTGCTTCGGCGTTGCCGTGATATCGGGAATGTTAAACTCATGAATCGGCGACTCCAATACTTGAGCAGCACTCATGTCACTCCACGTTCAGCCCTCAATTCACGCTCGAGACTCCTGTCCCAAACACCTTTGGTATCCGAGAACTCAGATACTCTTATAGTTAGCACATAGACCGTACCTATCCAGTGCCCGCACCGATACCGCTTCTGGTTCCTAGCAGGCGTGGTTTCGTGAATCACCAAAGCTCCACCAGAAGACGTGCGCGCAGTGCATAAGGTCCTCGACTTCCAATCAATCTATGACTCATGGTATTCCAACCATGCTATGCCAAGGAAAAGGCCATACCTTATATCAAATTCTAAGAGTAGGCAGCGTTCCACGCTATCAAAGTCAAGAAACTTGACACCGAGGTCTACAGGGACCCTCGGCACAGTAACACAAGTCCCCGTCGCTTAGCGATCAGTGACGTTGTCACTCAACCGCGCTTTCAGCGCCTCAGCAAACAACTGACTTCCTTCGATCGTGGAGGTCCGAGCATAATTGCTTGACGCACAAGAATCGATAAACATCCTCTATGACCTCTCAAAGCCCTTCACGGTCGCTTTTACGACCAGCAAGCCCGGCTTGCATACACGGGCCTTGTTCAAGAGCACGGAGCTATTCGGAGCTGGGCCCTGCTGCTTTCTACCTCTTTGAGGCACAACAGAACTCAGTTCTTCTCCAGTACGACACCCCGCGCCTACTGGGTGTTCTCGTTTCCTTGCGACAAACGAGTAGACTGGTGAGAATCGGGGCGTCGGTTCGACTCGCCTTTACGCGTTGTGCGCAGAGGATAACTAGTCCGAAGGTGACGGGTGTTTCCTCAGGCAAAATACCGTCGGGTGTTTACACGCCCTCGGCAGCTCAGAGTTCTTCCGCCTCTTTCTCAGCATAGCTGAGATCTATTAGCTCAGGTCCGCTCGACAAGATGTGAGGGTGTGCATTCCAACCAAGTCGTGTCAACTTAAAGTCAAATTCGGCATTTAATGCCACGTTCAGCGTGTCTTTAAAAGAAGACGGATGCACATGGAAGACTTCCATTCTGACCATGCCAGTGCGGAGGTCCTCGATAAAGATGGTCACTGCGACCGTCTTGGGAAGAGGCCAGGCCGGCAATGAGATTTTTTTCAGCTCTTGGACAGATTCACCATCTTGCCGGGCAGCAAGGAAACGCGATTTATGCGATATGCCTGATTTGGCGGCGAGAACACTCGCAGATGCTGATGCTTCAGCTCCTTCCAGGAGGGTAACACAGCTTCAACCGAAGCACCGCACGTTAGTGCCCATAATATAAACTGATAGAAAAAATAAATCAGCCCCAAGCTTGAAGATAGATAGCGCCACGCATTGTTGCTCGTTCTGGAGCATGGCGGATACCATAGCTACCTCGACCTCTCGTATCCAGAGCAAGAGATTCTGTTTATCTTTAACCTCGAATGTCGTAAAGCTCACCATGAGCGGCCTGATTTGGGAAGAGTCATCGGTCGACGCTGACAGCTTCTGTTGTACGTGCTATAACAGTACATTTTCATCATTTGAAAACGCCTCTAGGCGCGCGCGTTTGTCGCTTCGGTCTTTGCAAAGTAAAGTGCTCCACACCCTCAGGGTCCGGACATCAGCTCATCAAGCCATGCCCTTGGGCAAATAGGAATATTCCTTTATCCTCACAGATGTTCAATTATAACGACTCAGGCGTCGAGTGCTACCAAATGCAGCGGGGCTGCTGTAGTTCTTTGCTTATAGGAAGCTTAGCTAGGGTCACCAACTTTACGTTCTTTCCAAGAACCAGTATGAGCGTATCGGATCACAATTCATTGCCGCCAAAAGTACTTGGCCAAGCTCAATACACTCTTCCGTTCAAAGTTGAAACTGTATTCAATTGTTTTAGTGAGCAAATATCTAAAACTTTAGGCTTTCCTAATTAATGTAGTAATACCTAACTGATATAAAAATTCTGATGAATATGCATTACTGCTGGCAATCAGTGGCTTCTTGATACGGTGTAGTCGCAATTAATGCGCATGTTAGTGATGCAAAGATAACAAGCTCAGATCCACGGATTTCAGATCTATGTTCCCCGGTTATGCAAACAATATCCAGGGTGATCGCTTGGTTGACTTGAGAATTGCCAAGGTAGGAGTGACCCGTTGTGCTACGTTGGATGAGCGTAAAGTCGGCAGCATTTACTACGCGCATGCGCGATTGCCACAAGCGACCATCGGAGTAAAGAAAAATAGTACTGATACTCGTTCCTAGAAAGTAGCTGATCGACAGTCAGTTTGTAATAAATTCATGAATACTGTCAAGTTATATGTTGGACATCGAAATGAATGATGTTA